ACCCTACTTCATAAAATTTATCAAGTATAAACAATGATAATAAAAAGTCAAAGATTCAAATATATTTAAGGGAACCTATATGTTGCTGACGAAATTCTTGCTGTAATGACACAATATTTGAATTTGTTTGATGAAAGTAACACAAAAGAAGTTTCAATTGTTAAAATTATTTGGATTTTTTTTTTTTTTAATAAGTGTTGGAAGTCAGCATAAGAAAAATAAATAAAAAATCAGTATTTTGAAAAAGAAAATGTTATTTTCTATTTGAATATCACTTATGCTGTCACTGTTTTTCATTAGTGCTTCATCTTTAGTAAATATTTAGAATATAATGAAAGACTTGAATTATTGTAAGTTTTTTAACTATTTTAATTTCAATGGGGAAATTAATTTTCCTTTGCATGTATGATCCTTTCTGCTGATGATACAGTATTTCAGAATGTTAAATAGAAACTATATCATACTTCAGATATATCTAAAGAGAGAAAAAAAATCTATTGGGGTTAAAGTTTTGGTTAAATTATTTTGAAACATGCTTTGTGTGTATTCACATTATATATACTGAATGTATGATTGATTTTTTTCTTTTATTTATTCTTCCAAAATAAAAAAAAATTTTTTTTTTTGTTTGATTCTTTCAAGATAAGAAAACTAATGTACTTCAATTTTTCTTAATTGCAACCCATGATGAGTTTTAATATTTGGCCATTTTCATGTCTATAGCTCATTAAGTAATTAGCTTATTTTGGCATGTACAAGATTGAAATGCATTTTTTATTTTAACTTGACGATATAGCTTTATAAATTATTTCCTTTTTATGAATGCTCCCTATTTGTTTGACATTTGGTTAATTTTATAACCTTTGATACTTATTGAATAGAATTTATGTGAAGGCATGCAACAAATAAAGAAAACTCAGCAGATCTTGTTGCATCATTTTGTTTATTTTATTTTCTCTCTCTCCCCATCCTCAATAGTGTAACAACTTCTACTTTACTTCTGTTGGGTTGTTGGTCATCTGAAAATACAAAATATTATTTAATGATTAATCATGATTAATGTATTTGCTGCTTCATTGCTATATTGTTTTTAATTTCTAAAGATTTACCACATAAATCCATGTTAATTGTGATGTCAAGAATACATAGTGCAAAGCCATTTAGAAAATGATTCTGACTGGATTTACTAATAATATATTTAAATCCAAACTCCTCTGCTTTCATCTTTTTACTAAATATGAATCATGCTATGCAAATATTTGTTCTTCATATATTTAAGCAGATGTCTTTCAAAGTTCTTTTGACATCATTCCAGCTGGCAACTTTGCTTGAACCATTACACATGGATGGAAAATATAATGAATTTTGTTAAATATGTTACAAATTAGATTTACCAGTTAACACTCATTAACTAACACCAATTAAAGATTTGTTATACTTTAAAAAAAATCCCTGAATAATTTCTAACTTGTATTTCATTTAATGAGAATTTATTGCCACAATTCATTTGCTTTATTTACATTCTGAATGATGCTTCAACACTGAATTACAAAAATGGGGCTCTGAAATTTTAACTTCAAGGAATATACTGATGTGTGATTTATCCTGAACAATTTTACATTCTGCTCAAATGTAATTTTTCAGTAATATTGTTAATAATTCATGTATATCACTTTTGTTATACTTATAGTATAACAGAAATGATGCTGGTGTTTATTATTATTATTATTATTTATCAATTAACTTTTTTTTTCTTTTTAATTTAATCAGTTCCAAACTTTTTTTTTTTTTAACCTATGATTTAAACGTTGACTAACATTTTATCTTTTAAAAAAAATTTAACTTTTTAATTTTCAGAATACTCATGGACAGAGATTAAATCAAAATGTTAAAAAAAAAAAAAAATTCCTCAGAAGGAATGAAGATTTATTACAGTAATGAAAAGCTGAAATAAATTTGATTAATTATTTTATAGTGTATTCTGAACAAAAGTGTTAGACGTTAGTTAAAATTTTGACTTGAAAGTTGGGCAGGGTGGGTGGATTGCTGATGGTAAGGCTTAAACTAATTTCCATTGAATAATACCAAGTCTGAAAAATAATAGTTTGCTTCTTTTTCTTTTTTTTCCTTTTTAAACAAGAGAAGCATTTTAGATTAAAAATGTTATTTCCTTTGTATGACTAGCTTTGATTTAAGAATGTTTGGTTGTAAACAAAATTGGTGGATATTTCCTGTTAAAAATGGTAGATTCTATTCATACTACTATTGTATCTATACTTTGCTCACTCTCTCTTTCTCTTTTATGTAAAAAAAAAAAACGAAGATGTGACTGACTTTACTAACAAATAGAAATGGTTTCTCCCGGCAACCAATCACTTCAGCTACTGATGTTTGCTTTCATTCTCTCTCCAATTTCTTTTTGATTTATTTTAAACTCTCTTAGCAAGCATTGTTTGTCAAAAATATTTCACTGTGCTGACATACAAACTTCACTTTTTATCCCTAAAATATACAAAATTTATTTCTTTGAACATTCCAAACTTTTACCAAACATATAAGCATGTCTCTCTTAAATGTTCTGCAAAAGCCAATATTTGAATCTTAAAAGTGAAATGGGATATGAATAAATATTATTTGGAGAAACTAGGTGGTGGTTTGTGTGTGTGTGTTCTTTTTTTTAAAAATTCTTTTTTTTTTTTTTTTTTTTTTTTTTTTTAAAATTTTTTTTTTTTTTTTTTTTTTTTTTTTTTTTTTAATTCTTGTTTCTTTTTTGGGGGGGTGGCAGGGAAATTAATGTAAGAATTTATTTCAAAAGCTTGTCTCTAACTTCCCCCTATATATATTGATTATATATATATATATATATATATATATATTCGACATATTTTGTTTGTTTTAAAGTCAGGTGCTTGGAAAAGTATGCTTTAATAAATTCAGACATATAGAATTACTATTTTTACATCTAATTGGGTTGTATGACTTCATTATATGATGAGATAAATCAATAAATTTGAAGTAGTCTTGTTGTTTTTATGTAAATTAAAATTTAAATTCTGAATTTTCTCTTTAGTCTATGGATGTAAAGAAAACTACTATTCATGTCTTGATTTGTTGATGGCAGAAAACTTGAGACAGTTATTGTCTGCTTTGAATACATTAATCTGGAATTGCTTTCCTTATTAAATTTTTTTCGCTAATTAGGAAGTCTATTAGAGAAAAGCTTAGATATATTTTGTACTGTTGCAAGGCACAGTACACAAAACATAGAGGACAAGAGATTGTGGTTTTCACTCACTAACATCAGAATTCATGATGTCAATTAATCACAGTTTTAATGATATTGTCTTTGGCATCAGTCATCATTTAAAGTACACTGAATTTCTTGTTTATATCATATTGCCTTTTTTTTTCTTCTTTTTTACATGAATTCTCTAACTTGAATGCCTTGAATAGAATTCTCGAAAGGTTTGCTTTTATGAACTGAGCAGAAAGTCTGTCTATATTGTAATTATTTACACTATTTACATTGTTCAGACTGTTGTCCTCCTCTTTGTTGGCATATTCACAACGTTTTGCCTGTTGTATGCTTCAGCCTTCTTCAGGTGATCAGAATTTCAAACACAGTGGATAAGTTCATTGGTTGAAGTAATCCAATGACTTGACCCAAAGAGTTGAGTTCAATACCTGGCTACAGCAGAAGTCAACAGAAACTTGGCAAATTCAGTTAAAGAGAAATAGCTGATACTGAGATATCTAAAAGAGGCATGGCATGTGGAACTAGGACAATCTACCCCAGTGGATGAAATAAAGGGTTCAGTTTGAAATTCTAATCACCTGAATAAGGCTGGAGCATACAATGGCTGAAATGTGAAGATGGAAACAAAGATTAGAACAGCCTGAACAGTGTAAATAGTGTAGATGAACAGAAAGTTTTTCATTCTAATTTCACTTGAGTTCTATAAAATCTTTTTCTTTTCTTTTTTCTTTTTTTTTTTTTTTTTTTTTTTTTATCCTTTGTTTATTTATAAACCTTATTAGTTGGGGGGGGGCATAAGATAAGGAACAAACTTTATAAAACTTTTGTTTTATTTAGTTTTATAAAGAAATACAGAATTCCTCCCAAATTATTCAAATGTAGATTTTCAGAAAACTTTAAATTGAAAGCACAGAGAAGCTCTATATTTTCAAGTCACATTTGCTCTCTCTCTGTACTGGCTTATATGAATTTGCTTATTTGCCTGCAGACGATTATCATCTTTGTTGTTGTTATCACATCATTTTGACTGTTTTGCCCACCAGCTTTTTCGGGTACTTTTCTGTTCAGGAAACCTTCAGCAAAGTTCAAACTAAACCCCTTTATTTAACGGTTTAGTGGTAAATTGTTTTCATTCTGCTTGACATGTCTAGGAATATCTTGTCTAATTTTTATTTCGTACTTACTCAGTTATTGCTTGTTCTTTTTCCACTGTCCAAGTCTGCACTGTGTGGTCCAGGGATTGAATTCACAATTACTATGTCACTAAATTCGTGAACCAACACTTTAATTCACTAGGCTATTTATTGTTCCACAGAGCAATAGCTAAATAAGCAATAACTGTCATGACAATAACAAAGATGAGGGAAACAGTCTGTATGTAAATAAGAATATCTCATTCCAGAAATTCAGATAGGAATTCGCTTTCTAACCTAATTTTTAATTTAGCTGACATTGGAGATTTTCATCATGTTTATATCAGCTGATGTATTATCTCTTGGCAATGTGGGTTGATCAGTTTCTGGCTTTCTTTTTTGTTTTCTTTCTCATTTTCCTTGTGTTATCAAGGCATCGTTATGTTGTTTCATGAAAACAAAACAAACTTGCAAAGATTGAGAATTTGTTTGATTTCACCGACGTGTGAATAAATATAATCCAGTAAATCTTACCTGTTTTATTTTTATTTTTCTCTCTCTTTTTTTTTTTTTTTTTTCTTTAATTTATAAAACCCTTTTTCAAATTGCAGGCGTAGACGGCATCGAGATGACTTTGATTCTCCCAGAGTGAAGAGGTCACGAATTGAATATGATAGTCGAAACAGTGAGTATCTAAAGCATTAAGATCATCATATATTTAAAAAATATTTCCTCTCAAAATTTCTAAGCAAATATAATTGGCTATTTTAATGTTTTTTTTTTTTACTCTTGGGCAAATAAGTCTAATTTTCTAATGGCTGTTAACAATTAGAGGGATGGTAATATTTAAAGGTTTTTTTTTTTTTTTTTTTTACAAGTAAGAGATGTTTTCCAAGCCAATTCCTAAGAATTTTTTTATGATCAGAGATTAGAAGAATCATTTTTAAAACATTAAAATCCTGCAATAGTACTAAATAAAGATATATATATATATATATATATAGTCCCAAAGTTGAACATCATTGCACTGTTCTCATTTCCTTTTGGGTAAATGTGTTGCATCTGGAGCAATCCCTCAGTGGATTACATTAATTCAAGAACTTTTTTTACAATGCCTACATAATAAAACCTAGAATCTTTAAAAGAAATTGTTTTGTACAAAATCAATATTGAAAACCACATTCCTAATTTAAACAAAATTAATTTTATTTTCTGTATTTTTTTTTTTTTTTAAAGTTTCATTTGTCCTGTATGTTTGAATGCTTTTTTTTTTTTTTAATTTACTAACTTCTGAATCATCTCTAATTTTAGCTGCTTATTATAAAGACCGACGTCCTGATCGGTAAGTTTTATTCTTGATATTGTTAATAAGCTTTCCTAATTTGTTAGTCATTTTATTAACGTTATTAAATTATCATTAAAAATAGAGGTATTACCAAAATTCTTAGACCTTTTGGAATTTTATTGCAATTTTCAAAACATTGATTACTTTTATCCTTGTGTACATATGTGAGCAGACCAATAATTCTTCAGCCTGACGTGTAATTAGAATAAAAACTTTAGATCAAAGTTGAACTATGTTTTGAAGCGAAGAAAGGTTTTCTTACTTTTTTTTTTTTTTCCTTAAATAAAAAACATTTCTAGTTGTCATTTTTATGCTTAATTTATTTTTTTCTTTTTAGACCTCCTCGTTATGGTGGTGTACGCAGGGAAACGTTTTTGAATGGGGTGAGTTCAACTTCCAATTTTCTGATCATTTTTGATGATTAGTTAATTCTTAGATTCTTGTTAGATTTACTGTTATACCCCCTTTTCCCCCTCCTGTCTGCATTTTCATATTCAACAACCACACCTTTTGCTATTTCTCTAAGTTTTTATGACTACTGTAAAAATATCATTCTTGATTCTGTATACAACAAAAGCTCTGACCAAATTTAACATCTTTAGGACTTGGTGATAGTTTTTCATGTCTTTGTAGCACACAAGGCAACAAAAATATATCAAATATTCTGTTATCAAATCTGTTTCATGTAAACTATTTCTGTTGACTCACAAGGGAATTTAATTTTAGAATAAATTTACTTTCATGATTTGAAATTTTAGTCAAAATGAAAACTTAAATATTTCACATTTGCTATCATTAATAAAAATAAATTATTCTTACAATCCAAAATATCCTCCAGCTTTAAATAACCTATAAAAGGTTAAGTTATAAAAAAAAAAAAATCAGTTAGTCAACACTTGCTCTCAAAATTTTATTTGTTTTGAATATGAAAAATGGAGATCATTTTTAAAATAGTTTTCTTAAAAAAAACCCTTTTTTTTTTTTTTTTTTAAATGAAAAATCAAGATCATGATATAAAGTTCTGAGATTTTTTTTCTTACTGTCACCAGCTCAACTAATCAGACAACTTTTAAGTTAAACTTTCAAACAAATTAAATTTTTTAATATTTTTTTCGAAATACAACATAATAATTTGAAAATTTTTATTAATTTCAATATTAACAAATCTGTTAATAATAATGCAGCTATGCTCTTGTCAAGTGTCAATAAGAGAAATAAATGTGAACAATGTTTGTATCTTAAATATTTATGTATAAGCCAATATATGAGTCTTAACAGGCACATAGAATATTGCAATTAAAGCTGAGGCATTAGTTGGAGAAACTGTGTTCTTTTAATGCCTTTCTTAAATATGTATATCTATATAGAAATTGAGAAAAGTATTTTTTGTTTTTATTATTTGGATGGTAATTAATGTAAAAGCTTACCTCTAAGTAATTAATCTCTTTACTTGCCAGTAGTTTTTCATGTCATCAAGACACAAAAAGCAAATCTATTACATTTAATGCATCAATGCACTTTTTTTATCAAGTATGAATAAGAGAGAAACAAGTTTGGACCATATTCATCACATCCTTATAGCAAATTGGTTGCTTGTGAAATTTTTGCTGCCATGTAATCGTTCCCAAATTTTGTCATTTGTGTGAATTTATTTTTACTGCATTGAACATTTTCTTGATGATTTGTATTTAAAGCAGTTTTACTTTTTGGCTGTATCGATTTCTCTGCTGGCAGACTTAACTGATAACTTTTTGTAATTCTCCAAAAACTTGGCACTTTTTTCTTTTTTTTTTTTTTTTTTTTGGCCTGTCAAATAAGTGAAAACAACATTGTGTATTTTAGTGGAATGTTCCAATTATGTTTAAAAAGGAAAAATTGCCCCTCCCCTCTTCCTGCCATTGAGTAAAATGTTTGTTTCCATTTGTAGTTGATTATAGTTTGTGACATTTTCATTGCTGAAAAGATGCTTTTCCTTCTGTTTTGTTCCAAGGGAAGTAGCTCAATTCTCTTGTTTGATGGATGCTTGTAGATGACTATTTTTTCCACATAAAAACCAGAGCTATAATTAAAATTTGTTACCATTTAAAAAATTTCTTTAAATTTGCTAGTGCTGGATTATAAACAGTTTTCACATGTATTGTTGATGTGAGAACTGTTCGTATCTGACCCTTTTCAATACAAAGTGACTGTCGACTTTATTAGCAAGAATGGTGTATCTTACGCTGCCCCATCCAATTTTTAAAAATAAATTTCTCCATTTACACCTTTTTATACTTTTTTTTTTTTTAATCAAACAGAAACTTTCTCTGGAATATAGGATCCCTTTTCCCATTGGTTTTTTGACTGACGCACTTGTCCTTGATAATTCACACATTTGATATGAGGACACTTAATTTTCTTGTCTTTTACCAATAGTCATCTACTACATTACCAGTTGTGAATGTACTTTTACTTGTAATGTACCAGCTGCTACTTGACTTGGTTTGTTCATGAGAAACCCAGACTACAGCATTCAATGTTTTTTTTTATTTTCTTTTTTTAATTGGTCAAGTCGGTTATTAGACAAAATTTACAAAATGATTTTTAAAGGGGTAAAAAGACTTTTTCATTATTGCTTTTAAAATAATCCAATTTTTATTTGTCACTAAAAGAAAAAAATAGTTTTATTTAATTTTATTTTTCTTTCTCAAAAAAAAAAAATACATACTTATATATTTATAAATATATATATATATATATATATCAACTACAAAGTGCATTTTGTTGGAGCTTGTTTTGGTCTTGTTAAGAGTTTTATTTTAGAATGGTGTCTGCTCTAATTGATCTGCTGTATAGAGCCGTAGTTGTTTCTCAGAAGTCCTAGCACATTGCTAAAAATGTTGATTTTGTTTTTGGCTCGCCCAGCAGCGGAGCAGTGTGGCGAGCACATGGATATATCCAGCAGCGAGTGTTCACCCGTTAGTCCGTCCTTCTGTACGTACACTATTTTTTATCACCATGATAAAAGCTAATTATGTTGACATTGCTTTGTTTTGAAAAGATTTTCTTTAGAAATTTAAAAAAAAAAAAAAAAAAAAAAAATAACATTCAAATAATAAAAAGTGAAAAGAAAATATTCAACTTAGGTGTTTGTTTTGTAGAGGAAAAGAAAAAATATTCTGCATCAATTGCACGAATAAAATTACTTTGAACATTTTTAAATTTTTTTTTTTTTTTTTTCTTACCATGAAGAAAAAAAAAGGTATTTAAGTAGTTTTTTTTTTTTTTTTTTTTTTTTTTTTTTAAAGCAACTTAAAAAGCTACTCAGTTGTCATTAATGGACCAATGTATATATTTATAGCTTTTGCTGCTTCTATTTTCTTTTTATATTAATATCTTCACTAATTCCTTTCTCCTCACTTTTCTCTTAATTCACTTTGTTTGTATCTTTAAGTTGTTTATATCCATCACCATTAAGACACTATTGGGTTACTTCCCCTTGAGCATTTAGGGTTGGATGCAGATAACCTGAGTAGCATTTTATCCTATTAGAGCTTTATTTGCTTTTTATTGCTATAATGATTGCCTTTTTATTTCTTCTTGCTTTGCTTACTGACTGTTTCTGCTACACTTATTATAAAGCATGTCTGTTTATTTTGTATGTTTACTGCACTTCTTTCAATAAGCTAATTTTAAAAATAAATCAATCCAAATTGTATTGATCATAGCAGCTCTGACTAGAACATAAATATTTCACATGCTCTTATTGAGAGCAGAAATTCATATTTAATGTTTTTATCAATGTTAATTTGGCTCTGAAGAGTTTTTGAGCCTGTTTCTATCTTTGAACTAGAAAATATTTTTCAAGAGCTGTTAATAAGTTTCTTTAGCTGCAACTGACATATTTTTGATCTGCCATTTAATACAACATTCTTAAATCATTTAAAAAGATGGGCTTCATTTATGAATGAAAACCAATTCTGATAAAGAAAAACTTT